CCAAATAAATGTCACTTTTAGTAACACACGTAATAGATGTCGACACGTCATCTCTCTAAAAAGTCTTAGGTACGCCCCCAGGAATTTGAAAGGACGACCAGTTCCTTCGCTTCAGCGGCTAGGGATATATCAATTTATCTTAAAACCTCTATCGCAATACATAATAGTTCTCAGGTTGCTTCTGCATCTAAGCTACAATGTAGCAAAATCCCGCATTCATTGATTTAAAGACAAGTGTGAGCGAGTCATTTATCTTCAATACAAATATAGAGAAATAAAATTAAAATAAAACATAACATAAGAAATATACACATCTAGCCACAAGTCTAGCGATGTTAAATTCAGTATGGCCTTGTTTCAAGAGCGGAAGAAAAGGTTGGTTATTATTATCGTCACTTTAATTTTGGAAAGAGTATTGGTGATTAAGTGACAAGAAAAAATGAAATTAAAACAGGCTTTAATTCATAAATAGTTCAGCTGTTGGGTAAATGGTTTGCTAGAGGAACCGAAAGGTAAACACACTCACATGACAAGTTTTTCGTATAATCACGTAGAGAAAAAGTATAGCTGTTGCTTTTCCCTTCTTTATGAAAAATTTGCTAGACCTTCAGTGTATTGACACTGCTTTTTTTTTAAAGTTTGAGGGAAAACCTCTTCAAGGAAAACTTTAGTTTCTTGCATGCAAAACAAACAGGTAGATGACAATATTGCACCATCATGGGCTACAATATCAAAAATGCTTGCCCTGCTCTTAACTATTCCTGTTTAAACGAGATTTGTTGAAACCTAACGAAAATATAGCCATTGAAAATTTTAGGAAGATATAGTCATTGAATATTTTCCAGGCGTTTATATGATGGGGAGTGGAAAGGAGGGGAGGGGAGGGAAGCGGGGAGGAGGCACGTTCGTGCCCCAGCCATACAAACGTTTGTAAAGTTTCGCGTCTTTATTATGGAGCAATATCTTTGCTCATTTCCAACGTATCACCTGCTGGTAAGCTTGGTAAGTTTCCAACTCTTTTCAGCAGTGTCAATGGATCTTCGCTAACTGGTCTTTCTCAAAACTTGAAAAAAAAAAAAACACAACTTTTGAAGAGTTTATTCACTGTAGTTTTTTTTGCCTCACAAGCGGCAAAAGAGTTTAGCTATTATCGTCAATTTTGGCCTTAAAGTAAAAGTGGCCAACCTTTGAAACTGATCAGCTTTTTAATAATTTAATTGGTGGGCAAAGTCGTGGGTTTTATACTTTGACAAAAGCATAAGAGGAACTGAGAGATAAAAGTTTTCCGCGTTTACGTGGAGACACTTATTATAGCGATTAGTTTGGTTTACTTGTCGAGCAAGAAAAGTATGGTACCTTTCCATTTACAATCCTTTGGCAAATGGAAGGGAAAATCTGGTTGCAGAAAACTTGGTAGTTTTGCAAAACAAACAAACTGGTGGATAGTTATTACACTATTGTTTACAGTATCTAACCTAATCCAGTATCCGTGCATTATCACAATAACGAAAAAAAATTGCCTTCCATTAAAATGTCCATGAAATAATTAACTAAAACAGAAATTTCGAAATGAAGAGACAAGGTGATCCAGCTGATAGAAACATGCCATTCTTCTGCACAACTGATCTCTACTAAAATACAGAGCGTAGGACTTTTAAAAGTCTTGTATTCCTATTTACGAAACGGTTGCCTGAATCGGCATCAATTGGACAGAAATACACTGTTAATCATGAAGATCTGTTTAGCACTAAAATTGAGTCCGTTTTCGGGGAAATAAAATTCAGTCCTATTTTGGGGGTCTAATTTGACTTCCTTATTTAGTGCCAATACAGTCCCGTTAGCTTGGGCTGATTTCAGTTGGGCGCGCCCACGGGCTCGACTCGGGCTAAAATGAGTCTAAGCGTGGACTGGAATAGGCCTTTGATGATATGGGCTGCTTTGGGTTAAAATGTGCTCAAATGGCCTCAGGAGAGGATGAATCAGTCTTCGGCCTACAGTGCTATAAGTGGCATGCGCAAGTTCTGGTTGAAACAGATATTTTTAGTTTACAGTGTACTGATCGTGTTTCGCTCGACGGACTATGACGTAGTCTATAGACTGGTCGTTGTCTATGTTTTACGGCTACTGATGATCATACCCATTTTGTGATGGATGTTACTAAAACGGGGCAAGGGAAATGGGTAATTTGATCCCTAGCTCTATCACAGGTGGCCTAAGCGTAATATGAGAGTTTGTACGGCAAAAATAGAGTTTGAAACTTAGATGAAATAAATGAAGTAAAAGCCATAATAGGTATCAATAAAGTGTAAATATTGTTACCTGGAGTCGTTGTCTTTGTTTTTACGAAGTTTCAGCGCGATTTGAGTTGAGTACTTTTCATCATCTGACCTGACAGTGTAATAATAAGAGACAAGGTAGGACAGAACCACTCGATCGATCTTGAAAGCTGCTCAGAATCAGCTCCAAATTTGACGCGAAAAAACAAACACACTTACATTTTACGCCGCCGAATCCACAAAGTGGTACCTTAAGATCACCTTCCTGCAATCCGTTCCGGTAAACCTTGCGTTTGGATCACACAGCTCGATCGAAAAGATTGTAGGAAGGTGATCTTAAGGTACCACTTTCTATTTTTCCCATACAAACTCTCATATTACGCTTGGGCCACCTGTGGCTCTATCAGTAACTTCATTTCCATTTCTCTGTTTAGTTTTCATTACCCCGTTCCTTGTTTTAGGAACATCCATTGTGTGACACTGGTACTTGTACACTGATACTATGCAAAATTTCATATAAGTCCTACTGATGAAAATTTTCCAAGGTGCTGTAGATATGGTCTTGTTCTGGGTTTTCAAGAATCAATTAAGAGACTCAATCAATCTTAGTGTTTTACAAATTCAAAAAGCAGTTAACTTAAAATCAGTCAATGCTATTATTTTATCGAGACTATTTAAAAACTGAAACGCTCAATATTTACCAGTATGAACACCCCAAAGGCCGGAAAGATTAAATGTTATGATCGCCACACTCTTAGCGAATTCCAATGGCGGTGGCTTGAAAGCCAAACTTGAACCAGCGGTTACTGGAGGTGTAGGTTCCACAACCACCAAAATGCAGCTCCGTCAAGAAGAAGAACTCGTTCGGCATGGTGCGAACAGGATTGGTGATGGGAACTGCCTTGGAGCGCCAGTCGACACCCACACCTACTTTCTCGTAGATTAGGTTGTGGCTGTGGTAGGAACTGGGAGTTTGCAGATTGTGGTTTGGCATGAATGCAAAATAGCTGTTGGGATTGGCATCGCAATTTCTAAACTGGATTTTGTGCCCGTTGGATTTGAAGCCTTGGACATTACGGTGGCGTGCCTTGTATGCTGGAATTATTCCGAGAAAAATGTAATCTCTCATGAAAGCGTTGACTGGTTTAGTGTAACCGTGGTAGCTGTTGACCCTCACCCCAAACTTCGTTCTGGTGAAGTAAGGATGAGGCTGAATCAGGGTATATGACTCACTGAGACCAACTTTTTTCTGCAACTTCAGCAAGACGTTTCTTCTGTCTCGAAAAAGTACATTTACAATCCTGTAGGCATGTGGTGTTCTAGTTAGGCTTCGAGGAAGAAAGGTGAATCCACCACCATAGATGGACATCTCGCAGTACACTTCAATAGGCTTAATGTATGGCAGCGGTCGTATCTTGTACACCCCATTCGGTGAATTACGTGGTAGGTAACGGCAGCTTTTGGGAAACTTGAAAGAGGAAGAATATGCATTAATACTTAAGGGGGCTCAGGGGGTGGGGATTTCGAGGCAATAGTCAGGGCCACCAGACGACTGCTGTAAAATATCTGTTCGGAGAAGCAAATATTACCTAGAGCCCTAGACAGTTCCATTAATGTACAATTTTCGTATAAATTCGTCCCTACGATTTTCTGAAGCATATTTTTCACATTTCACACTCCAGGTTGGACTATTTTTCGTACGAAAAAGGCAACCTAAACTTTTCGGATTCAAAAATGTGATAGAGAGAGGAATTTTAAAATTTTCACTTTCGTAACTCGCTAAATTGCATCTAAAATTTTCGAGAAAATAATACTGAAGCCCTTGCAATTTCGAAAAGACTTAGTTTCCCTAGGATGACCGAACACATACCCATTTTATAGCTCTACTTAGAACGCATTTGTAAAGATCTAAAAGTACTCTGGATAGTCTAAAAAAAATGTTTTCAATGCATTTGGTTGCCTCTGAATAGTCAGGATATTAAGAATGGTTTCATTAAATTAAAAAGAGAAAGCATTGAGTAGTTATAGTCTGTGTATGGACTTGTTGCTATCTATACCTCGCCGTTGTAACCCGGCCTTCTAACGCCATTTGACTCCCACGGTATTACGGTAAAAAGAACCACAAGAAAAGTCAAGTAATGCATCTGAAATAAAAGACAAAGAGTTTTACATGTAAATTGGAAAACCACACATTAAACGTCAATAAAACCAAACTGCAAAATCCCTTCCCTTTCAAATAGCAGAGCCTTTGCAAAAAACTTTTTACCTTTAGCCAGCAAAAATAACAATTTTCAGCTGGTGGAGAAAATGTCTGAGAAATGAAGGACTCTAGAGAGGAGGAGAGGCCAGATGTTTACTGACCAATCACGTTTGTCCCAAAGTTCAAAGATTTTGAAACATTTTGCTCCTTTTAGCATTACATCGTTGCGCATCGACATAGTTGATATAATTATAAGGAACACCCCAAGTTCTAGCAAGAAAAAACGAGAGAAATAAGAATACCTGAACAAAATTATTCAAGTTGCTGCGACTAGTTCTAACTGGGCTTTTAAAACTGGGTTGTATAGAGCACCCTTAAGAGGAAATTGAGTCCCGTACGATATTTTACGTCCACTTTGTTATATTACAGATAACAACCGTTCTCAAGCATGGAAGGATGAATTTTATCCTTTCGTGTCTCAAGGTAAAAGATCTGCCTTTCTCACTAATTTGTCGTTTTCCCAACGTAACTTGGAAGTTACATTCACCTATATTTAAAAGCTGAGCTCCCAAGTCACTCTTTGCCTGATGCCAACATTCGTAACTGATTGGGAGTCAGTCTCAACAAGGCGAACAATAAAATTTAAACAGCTCTATTATGAAGTTTTAAGAATTTAATGAGGTTTTCAAGTCTTCACTGAACTATCCCATGGTGAACGTCTTAGTGGATTATGGATGTCGAAAACTATTTTATATCCTCTCTCGAAAAACTCGGAAAAAGCCGTTTAGGGTAAGTCTCGAAGTCTCTCTTTTTGTGGTTTAACGGAGTCTCACAAGGACACCCGTTATTTTTTCAAAACATTGAAAAATAGACTTTAGAAGCAATAAATTAGTAAAATACTCACCCTGGCTGGTTAGGCTTTTGTTGTAGCAAATCCCTATCTTGACTACCCAGTGTACTAGCTGGACTCGTCAACACCTTGTTGATCTCTAAACTTTAATAGGCACCTAACCCGGAAAAAAGAAACACTCAAACGGCGTAATATGCGCCATCATCATAACATCATCGGTCGGCTTCGCAATGAGCGTATTTATTTAGGTAACTATAGTGAGCTTATTCCTGTTGCTGACCTTTTATATTGTACTTTCACTTTGAAATGTTAGTGACATTTTTAGTGTTAAGTCATCCAACTATAACTAAAAAAAAAAGGATTTTCATATACCCAATACTGTACGTTACAGGAAACATTGTATGATGTACTTTAGACCATGGTCTAGATTAGACGGTAAAGCCACAGATAAACCTAGCTTGCAATCTTTTAAATCCAGCATACCAACCCATTTACCTTGAAAAACTCAGTTATAAACGACAATCGTAGTTCCTGTATAATTAGAAACTCTTAAGTGCTTTAGAGACTGATTTTGTTTTACACATTTTCCGGTAGATATTTTAACGGTAGTAAGGTTAAATTTGTAATTCTAAATTTTTTGATGTTTCTAAATTTTAGAGTTCGCAGGCTACTGTAGAGATGGCCTTGTTATGGGTTTTCAAGAATCAGTTAAGAGACTCCAACAATTTTTAACAACCGTTTATTTTCCTTTTCCTAGTGTTACGTTAACCCTATTCATCTATCTCTAATTTAGCCACTTTTCAGTGATCATGCGCATCATTTAAGTAATAGAAAACGTTTTCCGTGTTTGCATAGCCCGATATAAACACGAGAGGGGTTGGGAGAATTCGAGACAGTTATGCAAACCCGAGACGAGGTCGGGAGTTTGCATAACTGTCGAGAATTCTCCCAACACCTCGAGTATTTATATCAGGCTATGCAAACACAGGAAAAAAGTTTTCTATTGCTTTTATAAAATGACTTTCCCGAGAAAAAAACGCAAAACTCCTTGTATGGCACTGATTAAAAAAGAAATTCTTACCAGTCGCAAAATCTTGTCCACGAAGTCTTGCACGCGTAATCAGTTCTTGTTTTGCAAAAAGATGCTTTGCAAAATACGGATTTTTCTCGCTTAAAATGTCAGCTGAAGCGAAGAAAAATTGACTAGTAACCTTTTTTGTAACGATTTTCCATTTTTCAGCCGAAGAAGGAATGGCTAAATAAAGTAAACTTGTCGAGTTTTGAACTCGAAAACTTTTTCAAATTCATGCCTGCGTGATTAGCGCGCGAAAAGCTAAACAACTTGACGCCACAACCATGTTTACATACTGTCATGCAAACACTCCTCTCGGCCAATCATAGCGCGTACTATCTTAGTTATTTTATAAAAGGAAATCTTATCATGGATACAGCGCGTCCGTATTTAAGCGAACGCTCTGAAAAATACTCACGGCAACGTGTTAAATCGATATCGATACCAATACATACTTGATAGCAACAGTATGTTGTTTAATATCTCAACTGATTAAACGTCAGTACAAACAGCCTTGAATTCGATTTTCGCTCGTTGAAGTCGCGTCAAATAGTTTCCGTACTCAGTAAAAATCATTTTTGTTCAGTGTATCAAACGCGACAACCAAATCATTAAGTCTTGGAAAGCACTCCTTGACTTTTGTTCACTGCACTTTCATTTTTAGCTAGTGGTTCAGACAGACGGAGTCTATCAAACATGTTTTTTTTTTCGCACTGATCACGAGTCGGGGATGGCTCTCAGTACCTTTGAACGCGACCTCCTATTGTTGCATGATGTTAGTATTAATATAATATTTATGTATTTGTGGTTCATAGAAGACCGCTAGTTTATCAGGTTTTTTTGCAACTGTCATGTGTCTTTACCTTAGATAAAGTCTCAGTTCTACTCTAATCTACATTATTACATTATCTACATTATTACTTTCGGTCTATTGTCCTTCACTACTATTCGTTGTTTATTGATTGTAATGTACAGAATGATACTTTTATAGGTGTTGCTGTCGTCACTTGCGTGGGGTTTTAAAGACGGAGGGGTTTTTCCTTTTAACAACTTTACTTTTGGTTTTTGGCTTACTTTGGTGTTACATACATAGCACTAAATGGCCTGTTTTTTGAGATTAATTTAAAAGGCTGGCAACTTCCCAGTTGAAAGCGAAGTCTAACGATGGAAAGAGAAATGCGAGTTCTTAGCGAATTCCAATGGCTGTGGCATTAAAGCCATATTTGGTCCATTGGTCACTGGATGAGTAGGTGCCACAACCTCCAAAATGCACTTCTGTCAAGTAAAAGAACTCGTCCGGCATACTGTGTTCAGGATAGGTGATGGAGATTGCCTTAGAGCGCCAAATGTCCGCCACACCGCCAGAGTCAGAACGGTTACTGGGAGGTTCCAGATTGTAGTTAGGAAAGAATGCAAAGTAGCTGTGGGGTGTTCCGTCGCAATTTGAAAACTGGATTATGTTCCCGTTGGATGTGAAACCTTCACTTCCATTTCGTACAGCTGATGCTGGAATAATGCCAAGTAAAATGTAATCTTTCATGAAGGCGTTTATTGGTTTGGTGTAACCGGCGAAGCTATTGACCAACACCCCAAACTCGGTGTGGGCGAAATTTGGATGCGGCTGGATCAGAGTGTATGACTCGCTGAGGTCCACCCTCTTCTTCAACTTCAGTAGGACGTTTTTCCTGTCTCGAAACAAAGCATTGACAATCATTTCCACATGTAGAGTTCTGGTGAGGCCAGGGGGAAGAAAGGTGAAGCCCCCACCATGGATTGCTATCTCGCAGTAAACATCAATGGGCTCTTCGTCTGCCAGTGGTTATATGATGTACACCCCACTCGGCAAATGCAGTGGTAGGCTGTTGCAATCTTTGGGAAACTAGAAAAGGAGAACCTATGTTAATGGCTAGAAGCTTATTTAGCAAACTCGATAAATTAGCTTATTATGAAGTAATCTATTGAAATATTAATAAACAATGTTTAGGAAGACTAACTCGCTGTTTTGAGTTATCACACCTGTATACACGATTCGCATTTTAATACATTGCAATAAAACATCGTGAGATAACTGGAAACCCGAGTCTCCCTTTACAGGGCTTTCCTGACACAATTCACTAATTACATGAAATTATAGGAATAAGGTCTAAGATCTAAAAACTAAGTATTAAAACAATAGATCGGATAAATAATAACTGATAGCATTAAATATACAAATTATACATTAAATATACAATTAGGCAATCTTTTCTTAAAAACCTTAATATCTTTAATGCCCTGAAGGTCCTTAGGCAGGTCATTCAACCGTTTAGCTCCGCGAAAGTAAAAACCTCGTTGCCCTACTGACAACCGGCGGCGTGGAAGGCTCAAGTCTCCAGACCTTCTTAAATTTCTATTATGGGTTGCCGAAGGTGTTAGGAAATAATCAACTAAATAAACTGATGCCAGACCATTTAGACATTTAAAAACTAAAACTAAATCATTAAATAAAATCTCGGAAAGATTCAGCCATTTTAAAGATGTACGATCCTCAGAAATATGGTCAAATTTCTTTAACCCTAAAACAACCCTGGCAGCGAAATTCTGCACCATTTGCAGCTCAGTGTAAGTTTGTTTTAGCTGTAAGTTTTGTAAGTTTGATTTCGATGTAAGATAAAATTTAGTAGCCAATAATTAGAATTTATTGTAATGAATTGTAAATGTAATGTATAGTATTTGTTTGTGTACCCGAAATTAAAAAAAGTTTGATTTAGCTGTGTTTCCCAAAACAGAGGAACAATGTAAAATAACTTGCTAAAAAACATTTTAAGCTATTTATAAGTAATATAAGTGACTTTCTGTCTAAGAGGTGTTTATCCTATTTACCTGTACCAACTGATGAAAACAAGTAGAAGCTGTCTTAGTTATATGGATGTTATAATTGAGACACTGATTCTTCGCAACTAAAACCGCGGATATAGTTTTTCCTAGTACTGTGAGTGATACAGAAGGTAACTGACCGGTAAGTGGGGGTAAGCCAACGACTATTAACTTAGTTTTTTCAGGGTTGATAAGTAAGGAGTTAGTTGAGCACGATTTACTAATTTTAAATAGAGATTAAAGCATTGTTCACATGTGAGATGGCGTTAGCTGAATCTGATACCTCAAACTTGAAAAACTGCTGATAACCATCAACATACAGGTTCACTTGACTATTACTAACTTCATTAGTAAGATCATCCATAATAGATGGTGAATAAGATTGGACCCAGGATTGAGCCCTGGGATACCCCTGCATTGTGTTCTATAGGAAGTATTTCTGAGATAGACAGCGGGCCCGGCTCTGCTTTCTGAATAATAGATAGCTAGAAAACCAGGAAGCAACAGCCGACTGCATCAGGCCAAGTCTGCGCAACTTAGTCAGGAGATAATTGTGATCCAGGCTATCAAAGACTTTGGACATATGTACTGTCGCAATTTGTAATGATCATCGCACTTTGTAATACCTATCGGAATTTGTAATAAATTCATCGCCCAATGTAATAAAAAAGCAGTCGCAATTTGTAATAGCTGTCTATCGCACTTTGTAATAAAGTAAGCTGTCGCAATTTGTAATAATTCCGTCGCACTTTGTAATTATTTTTTGAGAGTGATTCAACTTACTTCGTCAACATTGAAATAACATGAATGGTATTTCATAAACAAAGATGATGGCGTCTGCAAGCACGTAACTTACAAAATTACTTATACAATTTATATCTCCGAATATTCAAACCATTTAACTTTATTCACAGTCCTGGGGGTCCTAAGGGGGGGCTAAACATTTTTTTTGCTTCAATGTTGATTAGTTATCTGACTTACGAAATTCTGTATTCTTAAACCTGGCTATTGTAGTAGATGGTTTGCATGCAATGGTTACCCGGGGGAGGCATACTCCCTTATATGGCCAATACGGGGATGTGCCTCTGGACAGAGCATTGTCCGGGTACAAAATCTAGACACACTAGACACGAACGAGCCATTAATTAAAAGGCATTTAATTTCCACAAATCGTAACGTCCATCCTTACATCATTCAAATAAGGACCCCAGGAAAGTTCAAGCTTTCCTTTTTATATCTTATAACAGGTCTACACAACACCGTCCTTGTCTAACGCGCAATCTAAAAAGAAGTAATAGTAGGTTCCATATTTTGACCAACTTAATCAGGCGAGGCCTGTAACACTGTCGAACCACAACAGAAACAAAAACACGAAATCCGATTAGTCGCTGGCCAATACCTTTGTATGAACCTGTTTTTATAAAACTCACTTGGGGTCATACACTGAGCCGGCTGACCATTTGGTCCGTTATTCTGTCTTTATTTGGTCCCATATAGGAACAAAAGGAGTATCATTCCATCTTAAAACAATTTTTCTAAGGCGCCCTCTAAGGTAAATACCTTGGGGATAGTAAAAAATTATCCTTCCCCGCGTACAACACGTAAGACCTTGCAATTCTTCCGAGAGTGCTCAGGATTACTTTTTTCCACAAAATGGAAAGGATAATAAACCAAATCATCCATTACTACTTGAATTACCCTATCTAAGGACACAAGGCGAACAAGGTAAAAAAATGATACCCTATGAAGAGCCATAATATAATATGTCCCATTATGGCTCTTGACCCTATTTAAGGTTCGCGATCCTCAGCGGTACTTACCTACCTAGCCCATATATGGGATTACCCCCTTCCAAGACTTCACGTGTCACGTGGCAAGCAAACTGAACATGGATTTGGACGACAAATGCCAGAGTATTTGATTTCAATTATATGAAATGATTCATATCGTTTTTTTTGGTGACATGTCACAGGAAGTTCATGTCTTTCATAAAAAAGCGATTCTCTTTGGTCACCTGATCAATCAAGGCAGAAAAATTTATAACGGAAGACATGCATGTTTGACCAAAGAAAATAATTTAAGTTTGTAACAAAGTGCGATGGAATTATTACAAATTGCGACAGCTTAGTTTATTACAAAGTGCGATGGACAGTGATTACAAATTGCGACAGCCTTTTTATTACAACGAGTGACATGGTTTATTACAAATTGCGACAGGTATTACAAAGTGCTATGATTATTACAAATTGCGACAGTACACGTATCCAATAATACTAACAATGATACAGTTTTTTCTTCAACTGCTTTCAAGAGTTGGTCATTGACATATAAAAGGGCAGTTTCAGTAGAATTATGTGACCTGCAACACTTTGTTGAATTGACAATTTATTAGTTCTTGTTAAAAAGTCAGAAAACTGTTTTTGGGCAAGTCTCTCAATTACCTTTGACAAGATAGGCAATAATGAAATTGGTCTGTTATTAGCTGGTACAGCTTCCGGGTCTTCCTCTTTTGTTATTGGGACGCTTTTCGCCAATTTCCATGTGTCAGGAAACGGCCACGGTAAGCCGTGGCTTGGATAAGTCCAACCCAAAACTCATCGGCCAGGATGAGCCGCGGATTGAGCTGGCCGTGGGTTGAATAAGCCGTGAACGTAGATTTTGTGCCATTTGTACGGGGTGTTCATGTCTTACGTAAGCTGCGGCTTATTTTCTCTCGTATAAACGGCCCTAATATCCTTCTCCTCAAAAAACACGATAATTGATATATATAGTCTACGAAAGCGTGTTATTACAATGTTCGACTTTTTTGGGGGCAAAATTTTTTCCAACAATGTTCAAGCACGACGTTTTTCTATATTCATCTCATATTGGACATTTTCCAATAGCTGGCAGGTGCTAGTTAACAAAACAGAATATTAAGGTTCGGCCCCGACTAGGTAAATTACGATCCTAATTATAACTATAACAAAATTCTCAAATCTGATTGGTTATCAACTGCCCTGATTTCAGCCTTAATAGGACAATTTAATAGGACAGTACGCGTCATGCCTAAGTAATTGGACAGTAAGCGCCATCACGCGCGCGCTAAAAGGCCTTTTTTTTCATTTCTAGCAAAAAAATCTTGGAATTTCTTGAGTTTTTATTTTGAAAAGAAGTCTTATATATCACACATTTTGTTAAAGTTATGATTAACTGGTAACAGAACTTCGTGTCGTCCAACTCGGTCTGTAATCATACTCGTGATTAAACAAATCGGACTCCCGCTACGCGTCGTCCAATTTTGTTAATCACTCGTATGATTACAGACCGAATTGGACTCCACTCAGTCCTGTTACCATTACGAAACGGCCTCTCGAAAACAGAATTATCAAATCTCACAATGAAAGGCAGACAACAATAAAAGTAAACAAAATAAAGAACTCAGATATAGAGTGATTAACAGCAAGTATGAAGTTAAGTTGGTGAACATCATGGTAGGGACTTTGAATTAAGTTAAGGCCCTCATGGGCAAAAGCGATGAGAGTGTCTTTAGTTAGAAAACCACAAGTTTTACCAAAGCCGTCAACTTATAATTTTTAACAAAAGATTATGATATCCATCTTCTCTATACTCTATTCAAAGTACATCTTAGACTACAACAACCTAACTTGATTTGAGCCCCTGATAACTCGAACAAACTACGTGGGTCCTTTGCGAATCCACCTTGGGATACGTGATATGTATATTTGACACAAAACTACTCTTACCATTTTTCTCGTGAAAGTAGTACCTGGTCGATCAGTAAGCTTGGCTTTATCCCTTACGGGAGAGAACTGTTGCTTGATTAGTTCACAACTACCATTGCTGCTCATCCCAAAGGACTCTTTAAAGTTAGCAGAGGTACACCAAGCGTGCTCTAAGCATGCCTGGCAGCATGAAATAAGGCTGTGTGAATCAATTTTTTTGACCGCTTGGCCTGCTAAATACTTATTCTTACTACTTTTGAAATAGGCAGATCTTAAGTTTCCGGCGGCGAAGACTAAAGAAGGAATGAAGCAAAAACTGAGAAACCAAATCATTTTATCCGATATCTCAACCTTCTATCATGGATTGAAGTTTCAGGATGTCGTTTGGTGGAAATTTCCGTTTTTGTGATTATTATTCACCGCAGGGGGTGAACCACTTTGAAAACGCCTTGTTAATGGATGATTTTATGCTTTAATCAGGCAAGCGTTTTGAAGTTTTAATTGATTTTGTGAAGATTAAGAATGAACCAAAACTTAAAACAGGGAGAGTCTTTAAACAATTGAGCTGTATACTAAAGGTGAAGGTGGATTACTTTCACAAATGGAAAGTTCATGATATGATTTAGAGGATTGGACAAATTATTTCAAATTTTCGATGGTTACCTGGAGAAAAACTATTTGTAGCAATTTTTTCCTTATCCAGGATTGAAAACAAACTGAAACAGGTGAATAATAATTGGGCTATTTCTCGTCCACAATATCCAAGAGTGAAACCCTGCCCTACTATATTAAAAAACATAATTATTGTTTGTATAAAATTTGACAGAAACAGTGGCGTAACTAGGAGGGGTCCTAGAAAAAGGTAGAGAAAAATTATAGCTGTTGCTTTTCCCTTGTTTATGAAAAATTTGCCAGACCTTCCGTGTATTGACACTGCTTTTTTTTTTTTAAAGTTTGTGGGAAAACCTCTTCAAGGAAAACTTTCGTTTCTTGCATGCAAAACAAACAGGTGGATGACAATATTGCACCAATATTGGACCATTGTCTACAATATCAAAAATGCTTGTCCTGCCCTTAATTATTCCTTTTTAAACGAGATTTGTTGAAACCTAACGAAGATATAGCCATTGAAAATTTTAGGAAGATATAGTCATTGAATATTTTCCAGGCGTTTATATGATGGGGAGTGGAAAGGAGGGGAGGGGAGCGGAGGGGAGGGAAGAGGGGAGGAGGCAAGTTCGTGCCCCCACCATACGAACGTTTGTAAAATTTCGCGTCTTTATTATGGAGCGATATCTTTGCTCATTTCCAATGTATCACCTGCTGGTAAGCTTGGTAAGTTTCCAGCTCTTTTTAACAGTGTCAATGGATCTTCACTAACTGGTCTTTCTCAAAACTTGAAAAAAAAAACCACAACTTTTGAAGAGTTTATTCACTGTAGTGTTTTTTTGCCTCACAAGCGGCAAAAGAGTTTAGCTATTATCGTCAATTTTGGCCTTAAAGTAAAAGTGGCCAACATTTGAAACTGACCAGCTTTTTAATAATTTAATTGGTGGGCAAAGTCGTGGGTTTTATACTTTGACAAAAGCATAAGGGGAACTGAGAGATAAAAGTTTTCCGCGTTTACGTGGAGACACTTATTATAGCGATTAGTTTGGTTTACTTGTCGAGCAAGAAAAGTATGGTACCTTTCCATTTACAATCCTTTGGCAAATGGAAGGGAAAATCTGGTTGCAGAAAACTTGGTAGTTTTGCAAAACAAACAAACTGGTGGATAGTTATTACACTATTGTTTACAGTATCTAACCCAATCCAGTATCCGTGCATTATCACAATAACGAAAAAAAATTGCCTTCCATTAAAATGTCCATGAAATAATTAACTAAAACAGAAATTTCGAAATGAAGAGACAAGGTGATCCAGCTGATAGAAACATGCCATTCTTCTGCACAACTGATCTCTACTAAAATACAGAGCGTAGGACTTTTAAATTTCGATTTCTGTTTACAAGAACAGTCGACTACGCACAACATCAAATCTCTATATCATCGCATTGGCTTTGAGTGACTTGATTTCAACTGTAGTTGTAATACCCTTCTCAACCGGTGTGTTAATAACAAGCAATTGGGTTTTTGGCTCAGTTTCTTGCAACTTTCATGGTTTCTTCGGTGGGTTTGTTATCTACATTACACCAGTAACGATGGGTTTAATGGCTTTCAACAGATACACGAGGATTTGCAAGTCGGAGCAGCAGTACAAGAGAATCTTTTCACCGTGGAAGTCTCGCGGCTTGCTTGCCTGTGTATGGATTTTTGTCGCTTGTTATACTGCTGCACCGAAGTTAGCTGGTCTTCAGGATTTTGTCTTCGTCCCGGGATGAGCCCTTTGCGCTCCAGCCCACCTAAGCGAAATTGGAAAAATGTTTCACTATGCCTTTGTAGTCATATGTTTCCTCTTAATCCCGTTACTAACAGCAATATTTAGTTACATAAAAATTGCAGAGATGATCCAACAGCACAACGCCGATGCATCAACTACAATCCAGAGAAGCGAAACATTCAGCCACATTACTATGCGTGAGATCAAGATAAGCAAATCACTTTTCGCAGTTGTGCTGGCGTTCATGATATGCTGGATCCCATTTTGGGTTATCGTTATTTTGAGACGCTTCGTCTCGTCGCGACGATGCCACGTAATGTCGAACTCCTCTGTAATTTTTGTATGTATTTCTCCAATACAGTGAATCCGTTTATATACGCAGGGATGAATCCTATATTTAGAAGGGAATTCCGAAAAATACTCTGCTGTGGACAAAGACGCAATGCTGTGGGTGTGTCTGCTAGAGTAGTGCAAAAACGATTCAAGAGGGCAGGCAGGGATCCACTCTTCCAGTCGTGTTTACTTCAGAAAGGAGTTAAACTGTTACGAAAAAAAGGCAGCTTATGCCTTATTATCACTTCTAAACAATTTTATACCCCAAATCGAGACACAAAAGGAAAAGGAACTGAGAGCACAAATTCACTTATTAAACTTATTCCTATTGACACCAGGGAGGCGTTTGGATCCCCCCACGCTAAAAGGCTAAATAACTTCAAAACCGTTTTAGCTATGACCACTAAAATCAGCGACTTTTCCGAACAAGTTATCTAGGACCCTTTTTTGATAGTCGTGACGTGTACGTCAAGTCAACATTGACGTTATAATGACTTATTAATTACACTTGATTTAGCACTATTTATGAAGTTTAAAGCAGTTAGTGTATCCCAGACTTTTCCGTAACTGATTTGAGAAAAAAAAATGACCAAGTGGCAGAAGTTGGGTTCAAATCTTACCAGTGTTAATTTCTCTCGGAATGTTACAAATTGAGGACTTTTTTCTTTCGTTTTTCTTTTTTTTTTGCTTCCTAAGCACCGTTTTATATAGATTTTTTTCTATCACGATTGTCTATATTTAATACGGGTTTTTAACGTGAAATTGAACACATTCAAATAATTTAAAATGGCGGATCCAAGATGGCAGATGGCATGGCTTAGATCCTTTGATGACGTCATCCTTAAATCATCGCTATTCAGTGGTTAAAGATGATTTCTATGTCAGCTAGTCTGCTACACAGCCGATTTTAGTGTCGTCACGCAACGCTCCGGACGACACTAAAAACGGCTGTGTAGCAGACTATATGTCAGCCAACTTCTTGACTTTGTCAGACACCTTACTATTTATAAAGTATTTTTCGGTTGAGAAGAAAAAATGATGTAAGTTGGTTTCTGCCAATAAAAATCAAGAATATGACGTAATTGTGACGTAAAGTTACCTCATTGTGTCAATCAAGTTAGGCATAGATACTGGAAATTGTGGGTACAATATTCTGTGTAATTTTGGTGGCCGTATCATGAGCGGTTTTGAAGTTTGGAGCCCCCATCCCACTACCGGTCACAGGAAGCAAAATAAAAGCCCTGTCTGGATAGCGTAAAAGTATACTTCATTTTATTAATAAATTTGAATGATGATATTTGACATTTGTTGCCCTTGTGACGAGTAATGTCCCTCTGAAAAAAATCATGCTTCTGTGACGAGTGTTGTGCGTGAGACGATGGGTGTACTTATATTGTCAGTCAAATTTTAAGAGCCAGATATTTTCATAATTACAAATTCATTCTTTATAAGGCTGAATCCGTTTCTCTGATTTGTAGCGATTTGCATCTTTTTTCCAAGAGAAGTGTGAAACAATTTTTTTAACAGGGTACGAGAACATTCACACTCGGCAATTCAAGCCATTTCTGAGCACTTAGGGCGGCCGGCCACTTTTTCTTTTGTTGTTGTTGCTTATTCTTTTCTGTGTTGCGAAACAATATGAAAATATATCTATAAGACAAGCCATAAAAAACCCAGTACTGATATTAAGTTTAGAAAGTTTTGAATTTTGGCAAGTTTCTATGGATGTCGCATTCTTCAAATTTTGCGGTTAAAATCCTTGGTAAGCTCCGCCTCAAAGACATGAGCTAGTATTAGCAATCTCGTAATCTAGAATTGAAACCAAAATACAGTTTACTTAATTGGTTTTTCTTATATCTCAGAATGGCGGACGTTTTAACCAATCGTAGTGTACTTTTAACCACCGTAGAGGTCTTCTCCATGATAATTTTCAACGTTCTGTCGTTAACAGGTAACATAATGGTGTGCATTGCAGTTTGCAAGAACACACGACTACGCACAACCACCAACCTGTATATCATCGCACTTGCTTTAAGTGATTTAATGTCCGGTGTATTTCTCATGTCTTTTTCATTGGGTGTGCTTATAACAGGCGAATGGGTTTATGGCCGAGTGATCTGCAACTTTCAAGCGTACATGGTTATGTTTGTGGTGTACGTTTCACCCGTCACTATGGGTTTAACAGCATTTAACAGGTACATGAGGATTTGTAAGTCGGAGCAGCAATACAAGAGAATCTTTTCACCGTGGAAGTCACGAGCATTATTGGCCTGTGCATGGATCCTCCTTGCTTGCTACATCCCTGTTCCAAAGTTAACAGGTCTTCAAGACTATGTGTTTGTCCCAGGATATGCCCTGTGCGTTCCGGCTCATCTCAATCAAACTGGAAAAGTTGTCCACTACGCCATTGTCCTCGGTTTTTTCTTTTTAACTCCTTTATTGACTACAATATTCAGCTACATAAAGGTTGCAAAGATGATCCGACAGCACAATGCCACTATGTCATCTACGATTCACAGGGGCGCAACAGGCTCAAGCATCACCGTGCAAGAACTGAAGCTTAGTAAGTCTCTCTTTGTGGTTGTGTTCGCGTTCATGATATGCTGGATCCCATTTTGGGTGATCGTTGTTGTAAGGCACCTCCATGTCGTTGAGAAGCTGCCACGAAATATTGAACTCCTTGCTTGTTTCTTTATTTATCTGTCAAATACAATAAATCCTTTTATATACGCTGGGATGAATCGCACTTTCAGAAGCAAATTCCGAAAAAAGTTTTGCTGTGAACGAAGGCTCTTCAAATGCAAACACAAACAGAATTGTGAATCAAATACCGAACAGGGGAGAGGTCAAAGCGAGATCGAAATGTACAGCAGAAATTCTCCTCGATACTAGTCAGCAGCTTCTACCAAGTCAGAGGTGGATGAAACTTCGTGAACTGACGTAGTCGTCATAGTTTGTTGTGATTAGATTGAAAAAGAGATAGATGCCCATAAGAGAATTCTGTTACTGAATGCTATGCTGTGAAGGAAGACCCATTCCTGTGGGTGTATGTGAAATCGAAAATTGCTTTAATTTAATTACCTGTTTTGTCTCAAGCAAAGAATTTTTGCGCGGCGAATGGATATTCAGCTAAGCAACTACCATAAATTCGCGTTAAAAAAGCGTTTGTGTGTGTTTGGGGAGTTGTCTATTATTTCTAGTCTGTCATGATACAGCATTCTTGTTCAGCACGCGTGCAATGACCGCGCTTGGCTGACTTCCGAATGCTCACCGAGATATGACAATTTTGGTACAGTGAGAAAGGCCATCGTGTGATACACAGAGGTTTAACTTACAATTTTTAATCAATTCTCGTGCTTCTTGTGCCTTTGCAAAAAAAATCAAAAAGTGCTACACACTAAATCTACTTACTATTAAAAAATATCATTTTTTCATAGGTTTAATGCAAGCCAATAATTAAACCAACTCGTGACGGGAATCCCTTCTATTTTCTCATACATCTCGGTGAGCATTCGGAAGTCCGCCAAGCCTGGTCATTGCACGCGTGCTGAACAAGAATGCTGTATAATGACAGACTAGAAACAATAGACAACTCCCAAAGCACAAACTCGGCCAAAACGCTAAAAATCTTCAATGTTTACTCAAGTTTGGGCTTATAGAAGATAATGTCACAGTTTTTCAATGACCATGAAATTCAGAGTGCGGGTAGTTAGTTAATCAATTGTGGCCCTGAAAAAATTTGAAGGAAAAAAAACTCCGAATTTTTAAGAAAATGCTTTTTCTCGTGAGAAGGACTCTTAAACGCTGGGAAACGTCAACAAATAGCGAAAACTATAATTTCTATATGTTTGCTCTGCTCGAAATCGCGCGCATTCACAAGGCCCTAAAGCGTTTTGCTGACTTGCAAGGACCAATCTGTTATAACGATGCCCAAAATAAAGGGATGAATCTCATAGTTTATTAGATATAATTGTGTAAAGTTTGCTTATCATTTTCGCATGAATTATGACCTAAATTTGGTAACCGCTGAATTTCTCGAATTGGGTCTATGCGATTTTGGTGAAACTCTGTTCAGCGCAAGGCACTAATGCGCACTATGTGTAGCCGAGAGACTTTCACGAAAAAATGCCGGCAACAGCAGATTTTCGACTCAGACCTCAAAGGGGTGTGGCATTATAACCACGTGACATTTACTCCGATCGCCAAAAATTTTATGTTATATTGTAGATTGATCTATATGTTATCCATTCTATGTGTTAGACTTACAATAAAAGTAAAGGTGGAGATACCAGACAGCTTCAAAGTAGGATGGTACCCCCCCAAAAAAACTGGGTCGAGTCACCTCAACTGACTAACGGCGCTCCGCTTTAATATCGGAATTGTGGTGAAAGCCATGGCAACAAAATAATATTCGCCCTGTATTAAATCTACAACTTCGTAGAACTATAGTTTCACCCGTTTTAACTTACTTGTCGAACTCAATATTTGGGCCACGTTATTATATTATGATTATGATTCGGGACATCATTCCATTCCTAAAATTAACTGGGGATCATTTCAGGGTTGGGGATTAATTCGGGCAGTCTGGATCATTTCGGGGGCAGTAAAATCGTACGAAAATGATATTCACTCGCCCTCTCGTCTCTTCCTGGAGGGACTATTCGTAGTCTACACCAGTCTAGGCTCACTCTTGTTGCTTTAGCTACCATAAATTTATTACGTCCCCTCTCTCCGAATACCCCCCTCCCCCTTTCCCTGGAAAGAAAGTTATTAAGCCCGGCTGTCTTTCAAGACCCCTTAAATGGTAAACTGTATTACAAATGTAACACTTGATCCTGTATTGTTTCTTAACGTAGTGGAAGTTCGGATTTGTCTTTGATGGTTGACTGCACGATCTCCAACTTCATGTGCCTGGTCAGTTTTTGTTTTTTCACTTAAACGTGCTTGGAAAAAGTGAGCCCCTGAGGAGCTCGAAAGAGGATTCCCGGCCTCAAATTGAACCCCGTCTTTGTTTCAATTGAACGCCGGAAAACTGCAACGCATTCTATTGCCGGCAACTAATTCCTTTCACTTTCGCTGTAGCTGGTCTACATCTGCACTCATAATTTTAGGCCTAGATTTTATAGTTATTTTCTTAGTAATGCTTGATTCTCCTTTTCCCAATCTTAAATTATTCAAAATTGTAAATATTTTTCTATCGTGGACATCTATTTAGTTTTTATTTAGTATCTTAGAATTCTGAATTGTGAAGGGGTTTTGCCGGAAATTTGTATTTATATAACATTGATGTGGACGTTTTATTTTTATGAATATTTTACAGAAGTTTTATGTGTAGTTTTTATAAGATTTTTATAAGATTCCTGTCCGCTCTGATTGGCTCAGCCTCGTCAAGTACCTAGGTTGACTGGCTGTTAAGCTCGCCGGTTATTATCTTGCACAATTCACAACCATACCACTTCGGTGAATAAGGCTTATATTAATTTAAAATTAATCGCGGCCGCGTCTTTAACATCCGATAGCGTGATGTCCCCTAATGATTCATTTTTCACAGTTATTTTTCACAGTGAATACTTTTGATTGAGAAAGGAGGTGGTGTTAAATTGAGGAGGAGGTTGGGTCTCGAAATGGTGCGCTTTTCGAAAAGGGGCCGTAATTCGACCTATCAACGAGGCGTGCACAAATAACGTGGACGCCGCGTATTCAAAATTTTCATGTCCAGGCTACTCGAGAGGACAATCCCCCTTTATTGGAACTTACATCTTTTGGGATGAATTCCATGTACCTTCAAGGAAACAGCTGCCTAATTTGGCGAGTTAAACCGCTGGGAGTTAATGTTGCAAAAAAATTGTGACTGTCGTAAGAATTTCATGCGCTTGCTTTCGAGACGAACTGGATCTGGTTTCGGAGCGATCATGTAAGTCGAAGAAGACGACGGAGCGGACACGAAATTCGATATCAACGAGAGAAGAGGAGCTATTGAATTGAAAGCGAATAAAACCATTGCGGTTCGAAGGCAAACCAGAACAATAAGCTTCGATCGAGTGAACCATTCACTTCTCTCCCAGTTTCTTTTTCTTTTTTTGCTTAGACATCTGCGAGCACAAAATGGATAGCGCTCAATTCTCATTACTGTGGTAAAATTATAATTTGCAAGCTTAATTTCAGATTAAAACAATTTTATTTAATATTACACGGTTTCAAAAGGTTGAGTTTGATCGTCCGGGTGAACGTAGTCCTGAATAGGACTGTTATTGTTGACAGTGACTGACGTTTCGACAACCTGCGCGGTAGTCATCTTCAGAGTCAAAGTGAGTTGTATCACGTCAGTTGATGGTATTATACTCTGGTTATTGATCTGATTGGTCAATTATGTCGCGATGTTATTGGTCGTTTGTCAGTTAAGCCGTGATGTTATTGGCTATGAAGACTCGTAATCAGTGATTGGTGCGTTACGATCCCATTGCTGAGCACCATTTAAAGACGAAACATCAAATTGACTGGGACTCTGCGACATGTATAACGTATTCTACAGACTACTATCAACGTCTTACTTTAGAAAGCTGGTTTACTAACTTAGAACAAACGCCCCTGAATCGTAGTCAACAGTTACCAGCGCCGTACAAACGACTTATTGACGAGATCAAGCAAAACTAACTACGAGAGAACAACTGGAGAACTAACAATTTGACTAACAATAGACGACTGTTTAACTGCGACAATAGACGGATCGAAACGCACCAATCACTGATTACGAGTCTTCATAGCCAATAACATCACGGCTTAACTGACAGACGACCAATAACATCGCGACATAACTGACCAATCAGATCAATAACCAGAGTATAATACCATCAACTGACGTGATACAACTCTCTTTGACTCTGAAGATGACTACCGCGCAGGTTGTCGAAACGTCAGTCACTGTCAACAACAACAGTCCTATTCAGGACTACGTTCACCCGGACGATCAAACTCAACCTTTTGAAATGACTCCTGGGTTCAAACCTTTCACAGTATTACACGGTTTCATATACAGTTTCTTGAAAATTCAGTACCTTTATTAATTCAACAGTTGCAGCTTAATATATTTTTACAGAACATATAGCTTACAACCCACTATTCCACATTCTTTATGTGGCTTATCCTTTCAGCTTCTTTACATTACATAAAGCTTATTATGTATAACGTTATGTACATCAACCAAATCTCATTCACATTAGACACAAAACAAATGTCTACCCTCAAACAGAAATATTCTTAAACTGAGTTTTAATGTTTATGTGACATCAACAATGAACATATATATTTTATTTTTATCACAAACACCATATTAAACGAGTATTGAGCGCAGAATTTTATTTGTTAATAAAGTTTACTACTTTAATTGCAACAAAATTATAAAAGGTTTTGAGATAACCACATTCATACAAACCCAAGTAACCAAGACGACAGTTAAGGAACGAGAATGACAAGATCGGGTAACACAAAGGGTAACACTAAGTTAACGAAGTTGACCATGATACACGTTTGCAAGTTTACAGAATCGAGCCATCGAAAGCGTATTATGAAAGCAA